AGCTCTCTGATGGAGATTATTTGTATTTGATTTGTAATAAAATTTTGAAATAAGTGATGTTTGTTTTTCTTTCATCAGGTTGACCCCAGAGTTGATGAAGGTCAGATGAACATGAAGAGCAGCCAGAAACTCCTGAACACTCAGATGGACGAAGCAGAACACCTTGTCCTGGTACAGACCTCTCTCCTCTTTAAAGATCTGTGTGAACACTCCTGAGTACACTGAGGCTGCTCTGATATCGATGCCACACTCTGTCAGGTCTGATTTATAGAAGATCAGGTTTCCTTTCTGCAGCTGATCAAAAGCCAGTTTTCCCAGAGACTCAATCATCTTCCTGCTCTCTGGACTCCAGTGTGGATCTGTTTCAGCTCCTCCATCATACTTGACCTTCTTCACTTTGGTCTGAACCACCAGGAAGTGGATGTACATCTCAGTCAGGGTTCTGGGCAGCTCTCCTCCCTCTCTGGTCTCCATCACATCCTCCAGAACTGTAGCAGTGATCCAGCAGAAGACTGGGATGTGGCACATGATGTGGAGGCTTCGTGATGTCTTCATGTGGGAGATGATCCTGCTGGCCTGCTCCTCATCTCTGAATCTCTTCCTGAAGTACTCCTCCTTCTGAGGGTCATTGAACCCTCTGACCTCTGTCACCATGCCAACACACTGAGGAGGGATCTGATTGGCTGCTGCAGGTCGTGTGGTTATCCAGAGGAGAGCAGAGGGAAGCAGTTTTCCCCTGATGAGGTTTGTCAGCAGAACATCCACTGAGGTGGACTCTGTAGCATCAGTCAGGATCTCCTTGTTGTGGAAGTCCAGTGGAAGTCGACTCTCATCCAAGCCATCAAAGATGAACAGAACCTGGAAGTGTTCAAAGCTGCAGATTTCTTTGGTTTCACTAAAGAAATAATGAACAAGTTCCACCAAGCTGAACTTTTTCTCTTTCAGCACATTCAGCTCTCTGAAGGTGAATGGAAATATGAACTGGATGTTCTGGTGGGCTTTGTCTTCAGCCCAGTCCAGAGTGAACTTCTGTGTTAGGACTGTTTTCCCAATGCCAGCCACTCCCTTTGTCATCACTGTTCTGATTGGTTGATCTCTTCCAGGTGGGACTTTAAAGATGTCTTCTTGTCTGATTGTTGTTTCTGGTCTGTGTGGTTTCCTGGATGCTGTTTCAATCTGTCTGACCTCATGTTCATCATTGACCTCTCCAGTCTCTCCCTCTGTGATGTAGAGCTCTGTGTAGATCTGGTTCAGAAGGGTTGGACTTCCTGCTTTAGCAATCCCCTCAAACACAGACTGGAACTTCTTCTTCAGACCAGATTTAAGTTGATGTTGACAAACTGCAGCAAGATGTTCTAAATAAATATAAATATAAAATCAAATACTAAATAAAATAATTTTTTGAAGATGATGTTAATAAATATGATTCCACATCAGTAAATGTCTGTTTTTCCATCAGTTCAAATATCTTTATAAATCCTCTTACTGATCTGCAGACGGTCAGCAGTTTTTCCTCCTTCATCATCTTCAGGAAGTTCAGTGTGATCTTCATCACTGCCTCTCTGCTGCTCCTTCTCTGTTCTTCATCATCACCTTCCAACACCTCATCATCTCTCTGACTCTCTGAATGTTTTGGGTAATCTGGACTCAGAACATTGTGGATTTTCTTCAGTTCTTTCTTCACAAAAGTGACAATGTTTTCCTCCAGCAGCTGGAACAGAATAGTAGATGAAGGAAACATCAGAGTGAAATCATGGAGCCAAACACCAGATGGATGTTGGACAGACTGACAGTCCTCTGGTCTACAAAGTGAAGCATGGAGATGAATGTGAACAGAACCCATAGAAAAGTAGATGTATATTTAATGACCAAAATATGGAGTCCAGCTGTGTTTGATCTTCCTGGATAGATGGACCACTGGGAACCTCTGAGCTCTGCTGGTCCACTCTGTGGAGGAACAAGGAACAATTAGGAAGTCAAGAAATATTCATCCAGCAGTTTTCACAGAGGAAATCATCAGGAGTTTCACACTAAAAATACTGAAAAGCAGAAAAACAGAGCATGTTGTGAACACAATACACAACACAAAAGGAGTTAGTAAGAGGAATCACAATTACAGTAAGTCCAGAATAATTTATTAGATGTAAAAAAGTTGATGTTGCACTTTAAACACTCCACACTGTCATTAGATCTGATACTGGTGGAGACAATGTCCCAGAGCTTGGAGGCTGTTGAAGTGAAGGCTCTGTCCACACAGGTCTTCGGGACAGTGTGGGACATCTATCATGGTCTTATTATTAGATCTGAGGTGATGTGGACATGAAGGACGACTGAGCACTTTTAGGTGTTTTTAATATAAGGTGCTTTATAAATAAAATTGATTGATTGTAATATGTGGGTGTGTGTCCAAGAGTGGTCCTCTACTGAGTGTTAAAATGAGAGTTTTATAATGTATCCTGGAAATCCTTTGAGAATAAATAATTCTGTTTTTCTCTATCTCCTTTAGCTTTTGCATGCTTATACATACATATGTGCACACACACAGAGTACACACATGCAAAGCTATTGTTAAAGGAAATGACATATTAGGGAACGCCCTATTTGGGGTTTAACTAAGATAAATAAATACATAAATACATAAGTAAATAAATAGATGAATAAATAAAACTGGGAACATCTGAGTTCATAATGTTTCAGTTTCCACAGTTACAGCAGTTAGAAACATCTCACCTCTCTGACGGTGGAGATCCAGGAGATTTAAAGAAAATGAACTCATCCTTTGACCTGTCGCTCTTAAAGGACACACAGCTGGGTTCTGGTTCTGGTTCTGGTTTGAGTCTCTGATGGATCCTGACAGAAACATGATGATTAAACCTTAATCAGCAAAGAGGAGCAGCAGCAGCTTCATCGCCACGTCTGTTCTGGCCTGATATAGTGAACGCTGTGTGAAAAGGGCTGTGGACAGTTAGAGATGGTGACCTCACCTCTGACCTTTGCTCTGGCTCTCATCTTCCCCACACAGAGTGGTTTTAGAGGGAGGGACTCCCTCCTCTCTGTCCTCACACTGATCCATGCTGCTGAATCCACATCAGCTCACACACACTTTCTAGCTTCACCTGCAGAGGAAACACACATCATTCATCTGCACATCAACTCTGATCATCCTTTACATCATTAGTGCTGGAAAAAGATCAGCTGCTCCTCCTCTGATTGGCTCTTCTTCTCTGCTTCATATCAGTGTCAGGTGAATGCAGTCAGACAGCAGAGAGGCAGAGGAAGCTGCCATCAGCTGCTGCACTTCTACTATAAGTCCACTAGATGGAGACATGGAGCAACATTTACATTCGCTGATTCAACTTGAACAGGAAGTATTTTAATTAGTTAATTATTAATCTCTACCAGTGGATTATTTTCTGCATAAAACTATTATAATCACTTGAACACATTTCAACAATAATATTTAGTAAAAATAATACATAATATTCATTTATTTTGAAAGGATGCAACAAGAAACTTTTGTTCCTGACTTTAACAGTTTGATTCATGGAGGTAAAAACATGAAGCAGAAAAGAAAACATAGAAACACCAGCTGCTCATCATGTTGTTTGATTCTTGTTCATTAGTAATCAAATATTGTTGTAAATTAACCTTCAAACAGAAGAGAGATCAAACTGAGTGGAAGTCAGAAGTGATGCTTCTTCTCCAAACATCAGAAACATATAAAAAGGTTCCAGTAGACAAAGTTCAAGTAGGAAACCAAGCAAACTTACAGTTTCTTCATACGGTTCAAAAAGTTGAAGAGTGTCTGAACAACAAACTGAGACCTAATTGAACCACGGTAGACTCAGACTAATGCCACACCTGTACAGAGACAACAGATCTGGACTTTTACCTTACCTGAACAACTCAAAGTTCAAACTCAATGTGTGAAAAGTGCTGCATAAGTGATTATTTGACGGCACACCTGGTTTGTAGTGTCTTCTTTCTGAGCAGCAGAAGGTTTGCTGTAAAATCAGAGGCAGGTTGACAAAATCTCCGTGATGAAATGAGCCCAGAGAAAAGAAAAGCTGGTTTCCTTATTTTGCAGTATCTGATCAAACAGAAAGTAAACATAAAACTCAAACTAAACTGTAATCCTTAACATCACCACATGACTGCAGCTGAAACCACACATTGTTCTAATGCAGATTATTCCTAAAGCTCCTATATAATCATTGATCATGATGTTAGTGTGGTGAGCAGAGTGAGGACAGTCTCTGGTTAAAACCAGGATCAGCTGAGGAGGTTCTGCTGATCCATGTTGAAATTTCATTTCAATCATCAACCTGAATTTAAAGTCAGAGTCAGATCAAGAGCAGAGAGGACAAATGCAAACAGAAGCTGGGAGTCTGGATCATATTGAATGTTTTGAAACCTGAAAACACACAGAAATCACAAGGAGCCAGAGCAGACCAAAAACAGGAACCAGGAGCAAAAATAAGCAGAATATCAAAAGGCAAGTAACCAGGATATGATGGGATTTAAGAGAAGGGAACAGCAATAAGTGTGAGCAGGAGAAGAGAATAAATACTGTGAGGGTGAATGCTGGAACAAAAGACCTGGGCTGATTAACAGGTTGGAGGAAAGAGAGAGAGAAAATGGCACAGGGGGCAAAGAGGAGAACACAACAGGGAAACTAGAAAAAAAAACAAGATACCACATTGTAACTGGACCTAAGAAACATAAAATAGCAAGAATAACAAGAAATTAAAGTAAAAATAGAAACAAGACTAATCTAATTAAAGAAAGGAACGAAGGACTGCAGAATAACCAAACCTCAAATTCAACTCAAACCAACCCAGGTCATAACTGCTGAACAAGGAAACACGATGAATCCAGCTGAAATAGCTCCTGTCCAGCCACTCAAAGACAAACCTCCAAACATTGTAAGTGAGCTGAGCCGGTTTCCTGTCATACAATCGGTCAAACATCCCAAACTTTTTCAGGATGTCCAAACTGCTTTACCAGATCCTGACCCGGCCCAAAGACCAGCTGCCACCACATGTGCGCCTAGTACAAAAAAGGTGCAAAAAATCAAAAGATGACACAACTTAACACATAAGATGGAGCAAATATTCACACCCCTTTATTAAATCATGAACTAACTGTGATTAAACCACATGTTTTTAGGAATCTGAGCTAATTTTCCCAGTGAATCCAGACCTGATTATTATCTGACCTGCAGATACAATAAAATATTTTAATAGAACCTCTCTGATGGATGATGGTTTATTTTTGGTCTAAGAATAAAATGTTTTTGTAAGGATCATGTAATCACATCCTGGAAAGTCCTTCAGAGTTTATCTTTGCTCTAAAGTTATGAAAACCCGAAACCTCTCCCTTTTTAACAGAGATCAATAACCAAACACTCTGATCTTTGCTTAATCTGCCAGTTTGACAAATATAAATGAACATCGCTTCAAAATGTGTGTATTTTATTACTCTGAGTGGGAAAGTGTTTCTGAAATGGAGCAGGAAATACATTTCATAACAGCTGATTTGCATGTGATCAAGGCAAGAAGGCAGTGGTCAACACACACACCCAGTGGTGTGTTCACACACACTCTGCAGAACTTTGTGTTCATCAGGAGGTCGATTGTTTCAGGTTTGAGCTAAAACAGAAGCAGCAGCACTTCCTCTACAGGAGAAAACACACGAGGTCATGAGGTCAAGCTTTGTGACAGTAAATAAAACACATGAATAATCTCTTGGTTTGCCAAATTATAATAAAACATGATATTTATGTTATAACAATGAAATAATTTTAGCTTGGATTGGCTCTGAACACATCATAAATCACTGATTCATTATAAAAACTTTGACTAGACTCAGAGTAGACTTATGTAAATATACATGATGAAGTATTTAAATTCAGCATTTCACTGAAAAAGTAATTAAAGTGTAGATACAGGGATAAAGATTAGCATGCTAACCCCTCAGGTTTCCCATCAGCCACTTGGGTTTCAGGATGACCAACATTTTAAAACATGGCTGCTAATTTTGAGCCTTTTAAACCAGATATGGACATTAAATGTTCCCTGTTAGAGATTCAGGTTTTAACTTATGGATCTTTGTCATTAAATTTGATTTAATTATTGGGGAATAATAAAAAAAAAAATTGACAAGGAATAAACTAAAAATTAGGTTTTTGGAGGTGAAATGATTAATTGTTTAATAAAAATGGAAAATTAATCATGTAGGATTAATTAGATTATTTTATTGTGAAATTTGAAACTGTTACAATTTTACAAAATATCCTTATAAAATCAACAAGTAACTTATTTTAATTTGATCATTTTAGAAACAAAACTTATTTTTAAAGGAATAACATTAAGAGACTGGTGTTTTTAGAATGTGTTATATTTCATGAATAATTACTGGGTATAGCCAGTGAAAACCACTAATTTATTTAATATTTTTACAGATTGATTGAATTAATCTAAAGATGATTGGTCTTAGAATCAATAACGATTAATTGATCAGTGGCAACTCTCTTAAAAATAGTTTTCTCCTGTATAAAGAGAGCAAACCATCTTTTCATAAAATGAAGGAATTTAGAAAAAAACACATTACATTTGTACTTTCACTTTGTGTAAAGAGTATTAAGTACTAATTGAATTCATATAAAACATGCAGTTTATTCATGTTATTGAACGTAGGCAGCCTTCAAAATGAGCGGTCCTTATTTTTCTGTGATGCTTCCAGTCTCTGCGTTGTCCTGTTTCCCCTTGATTGTTCCCAGGTGTTTCTCGTTTCTGTGATTACCATCTGTGTATTTAATCCCACGGTTGTCCTTTGTTCCTCATCGGGTCCTCATCGTTCTTCACGTCATTTTGTCAAGCCTGTTCTTCTGTCCACCAGGATGAACAGTTGCTACCGGCGATAAGCCCTGGCTTCAGCTCAGCCATGCTGCCTGTTTTTGTGTTTCCACTTGGACTATTTTTACTATTAAAACCATCATTTAACTATATCCTGGGTTTTCTGCCTGCTGCTTCACCACCAGTATACCAGCATCTCTTGATAGAGTGAAGCTATGACAAGAAAACAAACTGAAAAACATGTCGATCCTGGAATAATCCTGGAATAATCCTAGAATGATCCTGGAATAATCCTGGAATAATCCTGGAATAATCCCAGCTTCCATCTTTAAAGGACTGGAAGAAGAAAAAGTTTCCAAGGACTCAATCAGAATCGTTTCAACAAGAAATAGATTGTAGAGACTGAACTATCTGTTCAACAGTGAGAGAGTTTCTCTGACAGGAGGAAAAACTTTAGACTCTTTAGACTCAATTCAGCTCAGAAACACTGAAGAACCAGAACTGGACCAGAACCAGAACCCAAATCCAGGAATCAGAGGTTCAGTGAATGTGGTGTTGAAGGTGTGGAGGAGGATCAGTGAGTCAGAGGAGACTCTGTAGAAGGACAGAATGCCAGCAGGACAGTCCACATACACTGCTACTCTGTTAGAGACAGAGGAGGAGGAGAGACCAGTTTCTATGTTATTGTGCAAGACAGAGAAACCATGACGATCAGAGCAGCTCAGACTCCAGGAATAATCATTCCCTCCAAAACTAGAGTCTCTACTGATTCCTTTCCTCTTGATTCTTCTGTAACTCACTGATATATCAACATATCCTCTCCACTCAACCTCCCAGTAACAGCGACCAGTCACACCAGTTCTACACAGCAGCTGAGGAGAATCAAATCTGTCTGGATGATCAGGATATGACTGAAGCTCCATCACACGTGTCACCTTCCTGTTGTCTTCAGACAGTTTGAGTTTCTGTTCACTGTGTTTGTGTCGATGGTGAGTTGACAGGAATCTGATGGAGAACAAACACAATCCAGCTGCAGTTATTGATCATTTATTGACACTTTGACTCCTGAATGAGTGATGTGACAGTTTGAAGATGGTTGAATGTGAGCTGCTTTGTTGTCATGAATCAGATGAAAAACACACTTACATTTCCTCAGACCTGGAGTCAAGAATCGGCCTCCAGCAGGCTCCACCCTGAAAGGAGGAGGGGGGTCAGACCATCAGTCTCTTTCAGCAGCAAACATGGACATTACATGTCTCTCAGACACACATTGTCCTCGAGAGGGTCTTGACTGCAGCCTGCAGAAAGGGGCAGGGACGGACCACTGTCAGTCTCAGACCTTATATGGAATTGGGACTATTGCATTCCGGAAATGAAGGGGCGCTATTTTCACAATCACTGATACCTTAAAGAAGCGGGGTGAAGAGGTCGATTGGAAGAAGTTTGAGAGGTTTCGCCACTGACGTTCGGAACGCTATTCATAATGGAACAAGCACAAAGTCAGCAAAAGGTATTTTCTACCTTATTAAAACTTTTTTCACATAGTACATCAAAGCGCTTTTCTAGATTAGGTTGAAAATATAATTGACAGCTGCAAACGAGTGAAATTCATAGTTCGTACAGGGGAAGGCAAATTTTAGCATGTAGCATAGCTAATTATTTCCGTGCAGGGCATTAGATAAAAATCGAAAAGTAGAAAAATGTATACTTGAGAAATGTATTTTATGCCCCAATTTTGTTTTTGTTATACAGATGCACTTATCAATTTGCAACATTGGGATCGGACAGAAAATTCTTCCCGTACTGTCTGAAGACAAATACCGCTGTCCCCTTTGCTCATACAGTGCGGAGGAGTCTTAAAGGTACAGAACCACATAGCAACAACTGCTATGGTTCAACATAACAGTATGTAAAACTACACTTATGAATGTTTATTTTTACATTCTTATCAGTTTCTAGTGTTTTTATTTCATTTTTAAAGGTTAATATTTTTTAAATATGTTTTTGTACACCAATGTTAAATTTCTTGAAAGTCTAATATTTTTTATAAACTAACAGCTTTTTATAAGCTAACAGCTGCCATCATAAGTGGAACCCAGAGATGATACTGTAATGACGAGCAGCACTACTTCAATGTATTTTTAGTAACTGTGCAGCAAACCACACATTTAAAAGTAACAAAGTATTTTGTGAAATGGCTATTATTAAGTACTGTTTTACTGATTATAATGTGCAATGTAATATTACCCATTTATTTCAGCAGACATTAATAAAAATGAAGTTATGTGCACTGTTAGGTATTTTAATACAAGACAACAAATTAAGGTTAGAGGAAACCTAACATAAACAACATTTATCAGTGTATCGTGTTTTAATTCTTTTATGGATTAAAATGTGATCTTCATTCAGTTAAGTTTCTCGCATTATGTTGCATATCAACAACATTAACTCAAGAGTATAACATTTGGAAAAATGGTCCTAATTATTTATTTTTTTTAATCAAAGTTACAGAGTAATTGAGTAATCTGATTAGTTAATCTTTGGCTGTTCATTTTTGTGCAGAACATATATTTGTTATCTGGAAGCCATTAATTGTTAAATCCTACAAAACAGTTACAACAACGTTAAAGAATCTACAGTGATTAATTCAAACATGCCTTTTGTTCTTCCAATCATTTGTATATTTCCTGGTGTAATAACCTTTTTCTTTTATTAGTAGCTATTAGGCTGAGTCTTCGCTCTGTTCTGAGTGAGAATGAATCACATCTTGTTTAAACATATCTGCAATGTATATAGATGTTTTTTTTTTATTTTATTCATTTCTTTTTTTAAGATTCATTCATAATCATGTCATAGCCATTCTTCCAGTATGAGTCTTGCATTGCACATGTTTTTTTATTATTATTATTTTCAGATGCCTTTGATTGCACTGGAAGCTGTTCTCCAGGAGGTGATTCTGGCACAGGGAGGCACATCTTCCTTCACCTTGGCATTGACCTGCAAGTGCTTAGAAGCCATTGTGTCTGACCCAGTATTCAGGAAGAAGACTCACTTTGCTTGGCTAGATGATAAAGACCTGACTTTTTTCACCTAAAACATGTGAAATTAGATTTCTACTACATAAAATCAGTTTTTCATCAACAGGTGAGATCAGCTGGGCGACATTTTCAGAATCATTCAAGGCAGAAAACA